TTAATGAAGATTCCATGTGTAGCTGCCCCTAAAAGTTTCCCACAACACAGGAAGAGGGAGTTTGTGTGTTTGCACATGTGTGTGTATACACGTGTCAGGGGTAGGGAGACTGTGATAGGTGTGTAGTACATTTGGTTAGAACTAAATGTTTTCATAGGGTGGGTGAATGTATTCTAGGGATAAAACAGAAATGAAATGACCTCTACCCAGCCGAACCTGCTCCTTAAAGATGAAGTGTACAGAAAAGAATGAGTAGATTACCTATTACCAGACCCCATATCTAGAGATTAGAGACAAGCTTCACAAAGGATTTACTTTAACCAATAGGAGAAGAGGGTGAAGAAAGACTTAGAAAGAATGTATCCAGTCAAGATAGAAACAGTCTATCAAAAACAGACCATTAGCCCAGATAGTAATTACCTTGGAAAAACAAGAACAAAAAGGCATTAGGATTCCTTCAGGCAACTTGAACCTGACACTGACATTGAAAGACGAGTTCTGAATTTTAGGACTGACCTATAGGAGGAACAACTTGGACTCCTGTGTTCAACTGTACTCTCCTCACTCATTACAAAATTACTTGGATGACCTTCTCTCACTTCATATAGGTAGGTTTTTCCATATGACATACATGTGAAAGTTTCTATGTAGGTAGCTTAGAAGTTGTACTTTGTTAATTAAAAGTTTTCAAGTTAATGGGCTTCATTCATTAAGAAGTCCTATTTAAGAAGGAACACACAACCTAAATGATAGGTTTCCAAGAACAGTAAATTAAATGAAATTTTACCAAACTGGCACCGTTATGGATGGAATGGTGTCCCCTTAAAATTCATAGGTTGAAGTCCTAACTCCCAGTACCTCACAATGTGACCATATTTGGAAATAGTGTGACTGCAGATATAACTGCTTAAGACGAAATAACAATGGAGGAGAGTAGACCTCTCATCCAGTATGCCCAGTGTTCTTACAAAAAGTGGAAATTTGGACACAGACATACATGCAGGGAGGATGCCATATGAAGATGAAGGCGGACACGGGTTATGCTTCCATAAGCTAAAGATTGCAGGCAAACCACCAGAAGCTAGGAGACAGGCATGAAAGATTCTCCATAACCTTCAGCAGGAGCCAACCTTGTCGAAACCTTTGTCTGAGACATCCCGGATCTGGACCTCTGAAACAATAAACTGCCATTGTTTAACCCATCCAGTCTGTAGTAGTTTGTTAAGGCAGCACTGGAAAGCGAATATAGGCACTGAGAACAAATATGCTTTACCTCATCAACACTCATATGCTAAGTGCATATCTCCATAGAAACCTAGGACATCAACAACATTTTTCAAAACAGGCTGGGTGCAGTGGCTCACATCTGCAATCCCAGCACTTTGGAAAGCTGAGGTGGGTAGATCACAAGGTCAGGAGTTCAGAACCAGCATGGCCAACATGGTTGGTGAAACCTCGTCTCTATTAAAAATACAAAAATTAGCCAGGCATGGTGGTACGCACCTGTAATCCCAGCAACTCGGGAGACTGAGGCAGAAGAATTGCTTGAACCTGGGAGGTGGAGGTTGCAGTGAGCCCAGATAGCGTCACTGCATTCCAGCCTGGGTCACAAGAGCGAGACTCCATCTCAAAAAAAAGGCAATAATTTAAATATTGTCGTTATCCTGTGTTATCCACAATATTATCTATTTTCATCATAGAGTGCAGCCACCACAGTTAATAGTCAAAAGAAAATATATAACCCACTGGGTTTCCTTAGTCTCATAATACATCTTGCTACAGATTTTTTCATATCAGTATCATATCCTAGAGAACTAACAAGGATGTCATGAAAAAAAAAAAAGAAAAAGACAATTTTCTGAGATGTCATTTTCAAAAAGAAAAACATTTAATTAAAGGAAAACTGAAAGAGTCTTAGGAGAAAAGAGACTGTACACATGTTTACTTCACTAGGCCCTTATACCTTTCCGCATATTTTTCTGCACCACTGACCTTAGCCTCAGTAGAGAACAGATTTCTTCTCTTATTCATTCACCCACTTTTACTCTGCTTTCACTCATAACTGTATCAACTTTCTACCTACTTCACTCTTCCCACATTTTCTTCATCTTCCTCCCATGACTCTCTTAGATACAATGCTGGAGACACAGCTGCCATAACTTCAGTAGAAATTAAAGTGTGTGCAGAGTAGCTGTTGAGTTAGTTTTGCTGATCCCATTTAGCTACTGGTTAGAGGAAGTGATCACGTAGATTTAAGGCTTGGTTTCTGGCAGCAAATTTCAATAGAAAACCCTTGCTGGACTTGGAGGCATAGGGAGCAGCATGAGTCCAAAAGCCAGGCTTTGAGCAAGCCATGGAAGATTGCAATCAGACCAAAAAGGATGATGGTGAGAGGTGGAAGCATGAGGAATGAAGGGTATTAAAGATGTGAATACCAGTAATAATAGTAATAATAAAAATGATACTAAAATTCATGAACACTCATATGCTAAGCGCATATCTTCCTAAGAACACAGGTCATCAACAAATACTTTTAAAACAATGGCAATATTTTTTAAATACTTACCTATAATTTATGGGGACAACAGACTATTTTATCTTGCTGATTGTTCAATAAGCATGTGCCGAACAATGTTTTTTAAATATTGAATTTCTCTAGAAAAATCTTTTTTAAAAAATCTACTCATTGGACAAAATAGTTTAAAATTCCAAGGATTATCCTATTATTATATTTTTACATGAGATACTTTGGTGTGCTTCTTCATGATAATACAAATAGAATACTGAAGCCATCATCTCATTGTCAAAAATTTATTTCAAATTATTTAACTAGAAGACACAGAAGTTGGCGGTATGGTTTCCGGAAGTTACAGTCTATCAACCTCTGCCTCTTCCAGGTACTCCTAGTTATGTCAGAATTCTCTCACCACAGTGATGTCATGGTTGACAACTGTGGTCACAAGGATCTGGACTAACTAGGGACATCTGGAAAAGTGGGTGTTTGACCAAGCTGAGAATTCCAGGAGAATTACTGAGAAGGAAGGAATGAAGTGTTCATTAAATCAGGCAACATTTATCAGTCACCAACTTTCTTGAAGACTCTCTGTTATGCCTAGCCCTTGAATAACTGACACCCGTGTTGGAGAATTATGACCCAGAAGGGAAGGGTTTTCAGCCCTAGGGCACCATTCCAATAAGCCCTTGAAAATAGTTCTAAAAATAAAGTTGATTTTTCTACTAAGGGGCCAGGATTTTGTATTTTGATTTTTAAATCTCTCTCTCTCTCTCTCTCTCTCTCTCTCTCTCTCTCTCTCTCTATCTATCTGTTGCCCAGGCTGGAGTACACTGGTACAATCTCAGCTCACTGAAGCCTCAACCGCTGGGGCTTGAGTAATCCTCTCACTTTAGCCTCCCAAGCAGCTGGGACTGCAAGTTTGCATCACCACATGTGGCTAATTTTTGTATTACTTGGTAGAGATGTGGTGTCAGGGGGGTTCACCATGTTGCTCAGGCTGGTCTCAAACTTCTGGTTCAAAGCTAACTGCCCACCTCAGCTCCCAGAGTTCTGGGATTACAGGCACGAGCCACTGTACCCAGCTATTTCAATTTCTTGTAATTGAAGAAAGTTAATTAGAAATTATCTAGAAAAAAATTACGCTAATTTTCTGGACATATTATCCCTCTATTTTTTTCATGGCAAACACATAGCCCTTATTATATGCGAAGCACTGTTATAGTAACTTTTAAAAAATTAACTCATGATTTATTATAACAACACTATGATGTATGTATTATTGTTACATACTCCATTTTATAGAAGAGGAAATTGAGATTCAGAGCTAGTAAGTAACCTACCCAGGTTTACATAGCTAGCAAGCGGGTGATCTTTTAGTAAGGTGATAAAAAGACAAAATAAATTATATAGAAACAAAAAGGAAAATAAATTATATTCCCTGTCCAGGGACTAAATTAAATTAGAACAGGATTCCTTAAAAATTGACAGTACCAGCTTAATGAGACCAGAAGAATAAGTCCTGGTGTCCTATCACACAATAGAGTGACTACAGCAAATAACAACATAGTATATACTTCATGACAGCTAGAAGAGAAGGAAGATTCTAAATATTTTCACCACAAGGAAATAATCAATGTCTAAAGTGATAGAGATCGTCATTACGCTGATTTGGTCATTATATAATATATTGAAACATCACATTGTTCCCCATGAATATGTGCAATTATTACGTGTCAATTATACATTTTAAAAATTAAGAAAATAAAATAAATGGAATGATACATTTAAAAATCTTGAAGTTCATACTTTATTATTTTTTTCTATTTATTTATTTTATTGCATTTTAGGTTTTGGGGTACATGTGAAGAACATGCAAGATTGTTGCATAGGTACACACGTGGCAGTGTGATTTGCTGCCTTCCTCCCCATCACCTACATCTGGCATCTCTCCCCTTGCTCTCTCTTCCCAACTCCCCATCCCCCACCGTCCCTCCCCTATTTCCCCCTAACTGACCCCATTGTGTAGTGCTCCCCTCCCTGTGTCCATGTGTTCTCATTGTTCAACACCCGCCTATGAGTGAGAACATGTGGTGTTTGATCTTCTGCACTTTATTATTACTTTTTTTGAAGTTCATACTTTAAACGAGTGAATTGTATGGTATGGAAGTAATATCACAATAAAGCTGCTGTAAAATGAAATAAAATTTCACTTCCATACTAATTCAGACAAAAGATAGCTAAGAATATGTGTAGCTGAAAAAAAATGTGGTAAGATAAAATATTCCCAAAGAAAACTGGGCTATCCTATCATCACCTTTGGACTGGGTAAAGAGCAATTAATCTAGGTGAATCTTTACTGGATGTATTTAAGTGTTTGGACTATGCAGCCTCTTTTGGGTAAAACATTTCATCACAAGCTCAAGTGATAAACACTACTGAGCTTTAGTTTCCTGTCTTAAAAAATAGTAATAATGACAGTACCTACCTCATAAGCTTCTCTCATATGGTGGTATGGTGTCCAGATAGGATTTTTGAGTACTGGCAAATGCTCACCAATCAGTATACCCCTCAAAATGGTCCATATGCTTTGCTGTGAATAAAAGCCAGAGAGGGAAGACTTCAATATGCACACAATTTAAAAGTAAATGCAAGCATGTAAATCAGTCAATACACCCATGAAGAGCCAAAAACAGTTTCCTTAACTTCCTCAGACCCCCAAAAAAGGTTACTTTTCTTAGGTTAGCAAATGTGCTTCCTTATTTCTCTGATATCGGAGGTTTTAAAAATATCAAATCTCTGTGTAACAATGCAATATGAGACAAAGTCCTATTCAGTTTGGAGAACTTTATGAAACTCATTTATGTACTGACCCCTTGGTAAGTAACTTCTGGGATCAGAGATCAGGTGACGGAATAGAGGAACAATCAACCGAGGAACCACATCTGTGAGGAAAGCTTAAGCTTTATACTTTATTATATCTTGGAATAGAAAATCAAAGCCATTCACAAATCTGATTATGATGCATGAATAATATTATAAATTACAATTACATATTTTATAACGTGATATTATTGGCTATCTGTTGAATAATAATCCACTAGTATCTAATGAATAATTATTGATATTACCATATATTTGAAATCTATGATATAATGATAATAGTAATCTGTATGATTACAAAGCTTGATAATAAATAAGCTCTAATTAGCAAGCTTCCCTTTGAGAGTTCTTAATTTCATTCACCTAATATAGTTTAGGAGGAGAGGCTATAAATTGAATCTTCTAATGGAACCATTAGAGACTCCCTTGAGCTCACACCAAAGTGAATTTAGACCAAGATACCTCAAGAATTATTGAATGAACTGATTCAACTGATAACCCGTGGATTCATAGGATTCCCCAGGCTCATGGAAATACATTTTTAATGTCATGAGGCTAAGACTGCTCATCAGATCTTACCACTGGCTATGTAGAAAGTCCAATTCATGAATTTCAGGGAGGATGTCTACCTTCTTTCTTGTGAATCCTCCTGCTACCTATTCCTGGTTCAACTTTATGTCCTCAGAGGGATTCCCCTTTTCTTCATGATGCTTGTCCTCCAGTGATTTCAAATTCTAGGAGAGCAAAGACAACCTTGTTCACTAATAGACCTGAGTTTTTATCATAATGCCTGGCACAAAGCATACATATAATGAATATACATATAAATTCACATACAAACACATATATAGATGTACGTATGTGCCTGTATGTATCTGTATGTGTATTGAGACACAGAGGGATAGTACGATGGATAGAAAGGGAGGAAGTAAGCTGACTTTCCTATTATAGAGGCCAATAAGAATGAGAAAATACCCTATGTTTAAGTGCATCTCAAAATCTCATGTGCATAAAAAAAAAAAAATTGCAGAATCTTGTTACATTGCAACTCTCTGTTCAGTAGGCCTAGGCCAGAAACTGTGATTGAGATTCTGTAGATCTAACCAGCTCCTAGATGAAGCCAGTGCTGCTGTTCCTCTGATCACACTTCGAATGGCAAAGCCTCAGATAACCTGGACCCGGGTGCTGGCCAAAAATTACTAATTTAGCAACCAGTGCCTCAAAAAACATGCACTATGTAAAAGACAATAAGTTACTTCATGACAAATACTATGCTAAGTACCTTAGGCAAATTTTCCCATTTGATCCCTCCTGCAAACTAGTAAATATTAGTATACAAATTTAATAATGTAGCGACAAGGAAATTGAGATATAGAGAAGCTATATGGCTTTTGCATCTTATATCTAGCAGACATTCCACCCCCAACTCCTTTCTTTTAAAAAATCTTTTGGTGAAAGAATTTTAAAAGAAAATGAGTCTCTGGTGTCAGGTTTTGTCTGATGTCTCATGGCTAGAATGGTTTATTCCTAGTAAGTGCCAAGCTATTAGAAAAGCCCATTTTTAGAAGGCTGAGAAGTCACAAGTCATATGAAGAGAAACTAGGGAGAAGAAGAGAGAAAAATAACAGCAAACAAAACAGCAATCCTGGAAAATCCATAGAGGTCACATTCCTCAGAATTCCATATATCAGTAGGCAGGTATGAAAGTGTTTTATGCTGTTATTTTCTTCTAAAGTTTAAGTTGTCCAGATTCAGATCGAGGGGCTTTAAGACAGCAAATCTATGTTCTTGGTGATTTCAAAATAGGAAAAATGCAGGGGAAAGGGAAAAGAAAGAAGAAGAAAAGTTGAAAACACTATTTTGGAGACTTGTAGTCAAAAAAAATTAGAATTCAGTCAAAACTGTAGAAAATTTAAAAAACTGAAAAACATTAGGCAAGACAAGAATCCAACAACAGGTGTACTATTGTTTTAAAACATAATTTTTCTCCTTCCAGTTTCCCATGTTTACTAAAGACAAATCATGGTAGAACCCGTTTGCTTTATTACACCTGGCCAGATTATTTGTAAAAAGTACAGCAAGAATAATTATTTTTCATACAGCCTTTTTAAATTAGCTTTGACGGGCCAGGCAGTGTGGCTCATGCTTGTAATCCCAGCACTTTGGGAGGCCAAGGTGAACAGATCACCTGAGATCAAGAGTTCAAGACCAGCCTGGTCAACATGGTAAAACCCCATCTCTACTAAAATTCAAAAATAGCTGTGTATGGTGGTGGGTGCCTGTGGTCCCAGCTACTTGGGAGGCTGAGGCAGGAGAATCACTTGAACCCAGGAGGCAAAGGTTGCAGTGAGCCAAGATTGCTCCATTGCACTCCAGCCTGGGTGACAAGGGTGAAACTCCATCTCAAAAAAATAATAATAATAAACAATAAATAAATACAAATTGGCTTTGATAGAAGTTTGTTCCTTAGAAGGAATCTCAGATAAGATTTATTTAAAGCCAAGCCCAGCCATCATGTGCGTACCATCAAATATGTGTGAGTTGGGTGAATTCTTTTCTTGAGGTCCCAAGATAATTTGGGGTCCCTGGGTCTGTCAGAAAGTGATGTTCTTTACTTATCACAGGTCAGGAACTCTGTACAGGGGCTGTGTAGACAAGATATGTGGCCAGTTTTCCCAAGAGGCTTTTATCGGTTGTATAAGTCAAGTTTGATTACTTAAAGGAAAACACTCCATTCCAGTCAAACCTTGGTAAAATAACCAGTTTCTCTAATTGTGTCCTGTTACAAATGAAAACAGATTGTTCTTGCTCTTATGCAAATAACTATATTGCCATAAATTAAGAATACTCATAAATAGTTTCCAAATTCTGGAGAAATCAGGTAGAGAGAAACAAATATGCTCCAAATTTTGTTCATAGGAATATACTTAATTGTTAAAAACTGTCAATAGCTCAAAAGAAACGTTTCCTTGACTCTGAAAAACAAAGAACTAGTAACATTTTAAGCAAAAAGTCAAAACAATTACTTCTGTTGTCTATTAGTTCAGTCCATGCAGTTAATTCCTGTTCTGCTTGATATTTATGAACATTTCAGCTTCCTATGAGTCCTGCGTTTTTCCTCTATTCTGATGTTATAGTCTCCAAAGTTATCAGAAAACTGCATTCAAGAGCACCTGTCAGAGTTTTATAGCTGATTATACTATTGAGGATGCTTGCCCATAACACAGCCTCAGGAGGTCCTGATGACATGTGCCCACGGTGGCCAGGGCACAGCCTGGTTTTGTACATTTTAGAAAGACATGAGATATTAATCAATATAGGTAAGATGTACATTGGTTCTCTCTGGAAAGGCCGGACAACTCAAGCAGGGAGGGAGCTTCCAGGTCACAGGTAGGTGAGAGACAAATGGTTGCATCTTTTGTTTTTGATTAGCCTTTTCAAAGGAGACAATCAGATATGCATTTATCTCAGCGAGCAGAGGGATGACTTTGAATAGAACTGGAGGCAGGTTTGCCCTAAATAGTTCCCTGCTTGACTTTTCCCTTTAGCTTAGTGACTTTGGTAACCCTGTTTTCTTTTCCTTTCACAAATGCGATGCTGTTTAAGAAACTGTCTGAGATAGGTTCCATGTAAATTACAAGTCCTGGTAATCAGGTCACTGCCATCAAGCACTTTTTGGGGGAATGCTCTGACTTATCTATCACAGTACTATTTTAAGGCATAAAGTATTGAAATTTGCTGTAAGTATAGTTCCAAAGGGCCTCTTTATGATGTAGTAGACAATTTCTTTTCATGCAAAGATTCAGGCAATTTCTCAGGAGTGTGCTGCTTTAGGGTACAGATGCTGCACATATGACTCAAATTAACTCCTACAGTAAAATATTAATCTACTCCTCCATCACTTTTCCTAAAAGTATTAAAAAGAAGTCATTTAAATGTTGTTGCTAGAAGATTGTAGAGACCAACTTCAAGGAAATGCAGCTTCTAATCATCTGGGTAAGGTCATGGCTTTATTTAAATATAATAGTATTTAACCCTGAAATCTTCATAAAAGTAACATCTATACTTTGAGTGCCAAGGCCAGATTCTCTGAATGCTTGTTTGCAGCTATCTGTATTACATGTCCTCTCCAAAAGATTCACCTGAACCAATGACAGGATGTTAAGTGACAAATTCACAAGCAAAGGACAAACAGAAAAATGTAGGAGTTGAAAAAGTAGGGATAGAGGTCAGTAGGGTGAAGAGAAATGAAAAATACATTTTATGAAAGGTTTTTAAATGCTTTAACATATTTTTGGAAAAAAAAAATAGTGTATACCCCAGTGGATTTTTAAGAATCACTGTTAATTGTCACTCTCTCTTCATTGGCCTTGGGGTCTCCAGGGAATTTTCTTCAGGAAACATTTCAGTCTTGAAATCAAAGATAATGTTGTGATCAAAGCTAAGGAAAAAGTAGAAAGTTAATCAATATTGAAGTGGTGAGGACATTTTAATTGCTTCAACTTGTTACCAAACAATTATAGTAGACTTAGCCATATTATTTGTGAATTAACTATTTTATGGTTGACTCACAGAACTAAAAAGAAAATAATCAATCTTATGCTTCTAGTGAAAAAAACAGACCTACAGACATCCACAGTCCTCAGAAAGCTTAATTTGCTATTTCCATAGAAAGTGGATATACAGAAGTATGACTACATTGAAATATGAAAATATGAAAACCATATTTCTTAAATTTGCTGATGTAAATAAGAATAAATGAGGAAATATTAGATTTCTGTCTCCACCAAGACATTAATATTGGATCCTTAACTTTAAACAGTCTGCTGTGCTAAGAGTTTACTATGCATTATGAGTTTCTAACCTCAACCATGTACTCACTGCAGAAAGGAGTACTGGGTATTTGCTGAGATAGGATCAGTGCTAAGCTTTCTCATGGCACTTCACACTCAAATCACACAATGATACAATGCATTATTATCCCAACTTCACTGTAGTTGTCTCATTACAGACATTCTGCCCCATCCTCATTGTCCTGCAGCCATAAGGTTTAGAAGACAGGATAAAAACTGGACCTTTTGTTTGTAAATTGTTTTGATACCTGATTCACATGGAAATCTGTTCTGATAATACTGTTACAAATATTTAGCAGAGATTTTGAATGTGTCTTTACCTGGGTAGGGCCAGATCTAATATCCATTGTTTTATTTTACCTGACATTAGGATGACACAAAAGAACAGTAACATATGCAAATAAGTGCCTCATCCTTGATGACAATATATATTTAGAATGAGATGTATTAATGAGGTTAAGCTGTGAAGAAAAGCATAGGATCTCTTCAAACTTGCTATTTAAAGTCAGTGTCTTAATTTGCTCCTGGCAAGTAAATTTTATGAAAAATGCAATAGGTTGTATAGAGATTTTCCCTCAGCTTTGTCAAGATGAAAAGACATTAAGTACTTTGAAATGTGATACCATATTTTAAAATGTGATATATTCTGTCTCCTATAGAGGACAATCTATAATTTTCCTCATATTCTGGATTACTTTAATCTATAAATTTAAAAGAGAAAGACTATTTCCCAAATAAGAAATGAAGAGCAGTTTGATTTTGTCTAATTCATTGTTAGCCCCACTGAAAGAGACTGTGTTAAGGAAAGTTGCCTGTGTTTCAAAGGCAAGAATTTCCCAGCGCCATAACTCCATCTACAGCCCCATCAGGGACCAGAGGGGTTTCAAAGGTAAAGTTCTTTGTCTAACTTTCCCACACATGGCCTAAGTAGAAATTCCAGGTGAGCTTCTTTCTTCAGAAAGCCCCCCAGAAGCCCTGACAGGAGGGGCTCTGTTGCGGGCCCAAGCAACCCATCTAGGATCTGAGCTGAAGATCAATCACTCCAGAGGAAGTTTGAAAGAATTCCTCTCATTGGACAAGAACATGAACGAGGAAGGAATAACTCCAGGGCTAAAATCCCCCTGCTCCCTTACCTATAAGGATTTCCCTCTCTGGGATCCCCTCTTGCAACAACGTGGGAGCAGTCTTTCCCTCTTTACCTGTGCGGATATCCCCTCCGGATTCCCCTCCCATGGCAGCATGGGAGCTCTCTCTCCGCCTAATAAATCACTCTCTGCTAACTCTTTGGGTCCGATATTTACTTGAATGGTAAGCTCACTGCACCTCCAGGGCCCCTTCTCCCATTCTTGGGGCAAAAAATGCCAAGAACCTTGAAGAGCATGAAATCCGGGAGGGAGCAGAGCCCCTGCATCACGCAACCTGGTTACAGGAAGAAGCCAAAAAATAAAGGAGTTGCTTAGACTTTCTGAAAGCCAGTAAAATTTTGAACCAGAAAATCCCACATGCCATTATAACACTCAATGCCAAACTCTTTTTTGCTCTAAAATTGTCCGTCTCCTGGATTGTTGGCCCAAGGTTTATTTTTACAGTTTTACTCTGCATCTGATCCCTCAGAATGTGTGTTATTTATTGTTTTAACTTTACCAATATTATTTCTTAATGATTGGATTTGCAGCTTAAACCTCGCCAATCACCAGTAATATCTATCATTACAGTGTTTTTTTAATTTGCTAAGAGCAGAACCAAATTAGTTTCTTATTTTCTCTGCTTTCCAAAAAAACAGGCAAATGAACAAAATCCCAAGCCTTTACTGCCACCCAGTGGTTTCTTAGAATTTTTTCAAAAAAAAGCATTTTGCCAGGTCATGATTAACATTTTAAAGAAAACTTTTATTCTTGAATTGCTAGAATGTTTCAGACATTTTAATATGAAGCAGCTGGAGACAAAATCTTTTTAAAAAATAACTACACACATCTACTATGAGTATATCAATGATGTTATTTTAAACCATGTAACAAAATGATAAATATAACAAGCTATTCTTATCTTACTTTGTTTGACAGGTACTTTTTTATTTGAAATACAGATTCATAAGAAGTTACAAAAATAGTATATATATTTCTATTAAAAAACTGCCAAACGACTTCCTGGGTAACTCTATCATTTTTGATTCCCACAAAGTTAAAGAGATTCCATTTCTTGGCATTATCATCAGCATTTAGCATTATCACTATTTTTTTTTTTTTAGACAAAGTTTCGCTCTGTTGCCAAGGCTGGAGTGCAATGCATGATGAGTGCTCAGTGCAACCTCAGCTTCCCAGGTTCAAGCCATTCTCCTGCCTCAACCTCCCAAGTAGCTATGATTACAGGCACCTGCCACCACACTCAGCTAATTTTTGTATTTTTAGTAGAGATGGGGTTTCACCATGTTGGCCAGGCTGATCTGAAACTCCTGACCTCAGGTGAGCCACCCACCTTGGCCTCCCAAAGTGCTGGGATTACAGGTGTAAGCCACCATGCCCAGCCCACTACTTTTAATTTTAGCCATCCTGATAGGTTTTCAGTGGTCTCACTGTAGCGTGAATGCATTTTCCTAATGACAAATGATTCTGAACACCTTTTCTTGTGCTTATTTGCCATCCACATCTTCTCTTTGGAAACATGTCTGTCTTTTGATCATTTTGTATTTTAAAAACTGTTGACTTTCAAGAATTCTTTATATATTCCAGATACAATCTCTTTGTCCTATATGGGTTTAAAATATTGTCTCTCACTGTGTCAGACAATATTGTCTCTCACTGTCTTTTCATTCTCTTAACAGGGTTTTTCACAAAGCACTTTGTTATTTTGATGAGGTCTGATACGGCTTAGCTGCGTCCTCATCCAAATCTCATCTTGAATTCCCATGTGCTGTGTGAGAAGCCTGGTGGGAGGTTATTGAATAATGAGGGTGAGTCTTTCCTATGCTGTTCTCATGATAGTAAATAAGTCTTACAAGATCTGATGGTTCAATGAGGGGGAGTTACCCTGTCCCAAGCTTTTTCTTTGCCTGCTGCCATCCATGTAAGATGTGACTTGCTCCTCCTTGCCTTTCACCATGATTGTGAGGCCTCCCTAGCCACATGAAACTGCAAGTCCATTAAATCTCTCTTTCTTTTGTAAATTGCCCAGTCTCTGGTATGCCTTTATTAGCAATGTAAAAATGGACTAATTCAAGGTCCACTTTGTAAAAAAAAAAAATTTTTTTTCACATATCATGCTTTTGGTGTAATCAATAAGAACTCTTTGCCTAGCTCTGAAGATGTTCTCTATCTGATTTTTCTCTAAATGTTTTATATTCTTAAATTTAATCATTAAGCCTGTGATCTATTTTGAGTTAATTTTTTAGTAAAGTATGAGGCTTTAGTCAAGGTGCGTTTTTTCAAATGTCCAATTGCTCCAGCACCATTTGTTGAAAAGAAGATCCTTCCTCCAGGAATTGTTACTATACCTTTGTTATAAATCAGTTGAGTGTGTTGGTGTGTACATGTGACTTTTATTTCATCATTTAGTTAAACACATTGCATAATCAATCTCAACAACAGCCTTTTGATGACAGTAATATAAAAATATTGATGAGATAACTTTATCAAAATAAAAACTAACATTAAATGTCTTTGGCTAGGAATACACAGAAAATTATTCAAAATGGGAAATGAAATCTTAAATAATCTTCACATCACATGCCAGGTTCAAACCTAATTTTAAAGAAAAGGCTCTATAACAAATCAGCAGAGAGTCACACCCTTAAAGAGACTTTCATGGTTTAAATTTTGGCAAGGTCTTTTAGCAGCTAGCTATAGGACCTCTGAGGCCTGACTACTGAACCCCTCAATGTCTGCATTTTTCATCTCCAAAATACAAGTAATAATCTACCTCCCTTCTTATGTTGCTGTGAAGATAAGTTAATAACTTAGAAAAATGCTTGACATATTAAGAACCCAATTTATGTCATCTATCATCAATCAAATCTGATATAAAAAGTCTGATATTGCCAGTGACAGCTCAAATCACACCTATCTTTCAAGATGAAATATATTCATCCTAAGCCTTGGGCAAGTTTCCTAGTCTAAGTCCATTTCCTCATCTGTAAAATAGAATTGTTATGAGGAACAAGCGAGCTAAAGTATTAGGATTTATCACAGTGCTCGGTTACAAAGGAAATATCATTCAGGACATAGGCATAGGCAAGGACTTCATGACTAAAACACCGAAAGCAATGGCAACAGATGCCAAAATAGACCAATGGGATCTAATTCAACTTAAGAGCTTCTGCACAGCAAAGAAACAATCATTAGAGTGAGTGGCAGCCAACAGAATGGGAAAACATTTTTTCAAGCTACCATCTGACAAAGGGCTAATATCAAGAATCTACAAAGAACTAAAACAAAATTTACAGGTAAAAAAACAAACAAACCCATCAAAAAGTGGGCAAAGGATATGAACAGACACTTTTCAAAAGAAGACATTTATGTGGCCAAAAAACGTATGAAAAATGCTCATCATCAGTGCCCATTAGAGAAATGCAAATCAAAACCACATTGAGATACCATCATACGTCAGAATGACGATCATTAAAAAATCTGGAGACAACAGATGCTGGAGAGGATGTGGAGAAATAGGAACACTTTTACACCGTTTGTGGAAGTGTAAATTAGTTCAACCATTGTGGAAGACAGTGTGGCGATCCCTCAAGGATGTAGAACCAGAAATACTATTTGACCCAGCAATCCCATTACTGGGTATATATCCAAAGGATTATAAATCATTCTATCATAAATACACATGCACACATATGTTCATTGCAGCACGGTTTACAATAGCAAAGACTTGGAACCAACCGAAACCCCCATCAATGATAGAGTGGATAAAGAAAATATGGCACATATACACCATGGAATACTATGCAGCCATAAAAAAGGAATGAGTTCATGTCCTTTGCAGGGACATGGATGAATCTGGAAACCATCATCCTCAGCAAACCGACACAAGAACAGAAAACCAAACGCCGCATGTTCTCACTCGTAAGTGGGTGCTGAACACTGAGTACACATGGACACAGGGAGGGGAACATCACACACTGGGGTCTGTTGAAGGGCGGGGAGGCTAGGGAAGGGATAGCAGGGGGTGGGATAACATTAGGAGAAATACCTAATGTAGATGATGGAGGGATGGAGGCAGCAAACCACCACGGCATGTGTATACCTATGTAACAATCCTGCAAGATCAGCACGTGTACCCCAGAACTTACAGTATAATTAAAAAAAAAAAGAAAAAGAAAAAGAACACTTGAAACTGGGTAATTTATAAAGAAAAGAAATTTCTTACAATTCAGGTGGCTTGGAAGTCCAAGGGCATGGCCTCAGTATCTGGTGAGAGCCTTCTTCCTGGTGAGGACTGTGCAGAGTCCTGTGGCAGTGCAGACCATCACATAGTGAGGGGGCTGAGCATGCTAACATGCTAGCTCAGGCCTCTCTTCCTCTTAGAAAGCCACCAGTTCCACTCCCATGATTGCCCATTAATCTATTAACCCATCAATGTATTAAGTCATGAGTAGATTAATTCATTCATGAGGGCAGAGCACTCATGATACACTCACTTCTTAAATATTCCACCTCTCCATACTGCCACATAGGGGCAGGGTG